AAAAAAAAAAAAAACAAAACTGCAAGATCATGACCTGAGCCAAAGTCCGATGCTCAGCTGAGTCACCCAGGTGCCCATCTCGTATTTTGAAAGCAATATTAGTGAGGTGCCTGGCTAGCTCAGTCCATAGAGTGTGTGGAGTCTTGATCTTGGGGTTGTGAGTTCAAGCTCCACGTTGGGTATAGAGATTACTAAGAATAAATAAATAAACTTTAAAAAATCATAAAAAAAATAAAAGTAGGATTAGTTATTAATGTTAGTGTTGTAGTATAATGCTATACAGTTCACACATCGGTTTTACATCTGTTTTCTCACTTTGATCCCCAGAACAACCTTTTGAATTTTAGGGGACATTAAAAACTAGATTTATGAGATATTCTCTTATTTGGGGATTAACTTTTAAACACTTACTAAAGTACTTTTCATCTATTATCCCAAGAAATTCTTCTAGCAGAGTTATTTGTTCTCTTTCTGTATTTCACAAGTCTGGAAGTGGGGGAAGGGTGAGAAAATATTTGAGAAAGAAAAAAGTAAAAAATAAGATTATTGTCAGAAAAATTGTCTCATTCCTCTGTCCAAACATGCCAAGAAATGGGAAATAAGATCTTTTCATTTCTTAGTTCCTGTATTTTACGGAGAAAAATGGGCATAAGATGATGTCAGTTTATTTGAAATGTTATTGGTGCATACTTTCTGATATGAATCATTTAAGATGTATATAAGAAATCACTGTGTAGATTATTTAATAATTTTTATATTGTCTCTATATCTTTAAAGTTTGTTTGTTTTGTGAGAAAGAGAGAGAGGGCATGAGCGCGTACACTCACGCACAAGCAGGAGTGGGGCAGAGACAGAGGGAGAGAGAGAATCCCAAGCAGGCTCCATGCTGTCATCTCAGAGCCCAACATAGGGCTCAAACCCATGAACTGTGAGATCATGACCTGAGTCGAAATCAAGAGCCTTACATGTAACCGACTGAGCCACCCATGTGCCTCTGTCTCTATATCTTAAAATTTGAAAGTAGACACGGAAAATTTTATTTGTTCAAATAAAACACTTGTCTCTCCTATTCTCTGTCAGCAAACAAATAGAACTTTTGGTCATAAGCTAATGAATGTGGCAAGTGACTAGCCTACCATGACTATGTTCCAGATTTCTGGCAGAGGAGGAATTGTGTGGAGCCCTCTAAGTAAGCTTGTGATGGATGCTCTCAGTCACCCCCAGCTAACTGAAAGGCTAGTCATCCTGTCTCCTTCCCTCTAGTTTCATATCTCATTATTACCTCCAAGGAAAAGGTGTTCCAAGGTGCAAATTGACTGCCTTGGTTTGGAAAAGTTTCCAGTATTTTGCATCTGCTTAACTCTTATTAGGAAGAATATTGTAAATATTGTCTAGAAGTTGGGGATTAACCTATGAATTCTGTCTTATCAGCCATAGCTCTATGAACTTGATTTATGCATAAGTGCTTCATGTACAGCCCACTTCACAGTCTAAACAGATAAATTTACTAATGTTTAAATTATAATTGGTAATTCAATAGTGAGAAGGGAAAACAAAGGTTCAAAACACCAGACCCGTGTTGCATATTAATTTTCATTGGCTGGTGTAGCTGACAAAGTTTTGTGAAAATGGTGGGGCTTGAACTAGGCCATATTTTTTAAAATTGTTGGTCTTAGGTCAATGGAGTGCGGAAAAGACAATAATCTGAGAAAGCAAACAATGCCAGTGAAAACACAGAGGCAGGACAGAGAATGCATTGCACATAGTACTTTTCACAAGAGCAAAAAGCTGTAAAAAATAAGGTGAGGCCAGGATAAGGGAGGCTCTAAAAAGCAGGCATGGAGTTGAACTTGACTCAGTGGAAAGTAGGCTTCAGGTTACACTTTTGCAGGGAAGAGGGACATGACAGAAGTGCTGTTTAGGAGGAATGGACCAGGCAGCAGGACTGCAGGGGCAATAGGAGAGAGACAGGCATCACCTGTTGTGATTATCTCTGTGACATCACTTCCCTTGGCTTGGAGTAATGCTGCCTTTCAACAAGAAAGGATTTGGTTTCACAACAGATTTTGAGAAAGTTCTCTGTCAGGAGTGGAAGAAAAAGGGAATTAGTATGTTTTGAGCCCTTATTATAGTGTTCCAGACACTGCTTAGACACTTTAAATACGACATCTTTCTGAATCCACACAATACAACTCTGTTGAGGTAGCTATTATTATCCACATTTTATTGAGGAGGAAACTGAGTTAGATTACTTGCCTTTGGTCACGTAGCTATGAAATGATAGGATCCAGTTTCATACCTGTGTCTGACTCCAAAACGCTTGCTCTTTCATCAGAGTTTATGTGTAAAATAAAACTGTTGTTATAGTAATAACAACAACTTTTATGAAAAGTTCAACTTTTGATAAGCTTTTGATCAACTTTTATCAACATAGTCAGTTGGGTTTTATACTATTGCCATTTTAACCTAAAATGCTGCCTTTCTAGATCTAACCGCAGTCTCTCCGTTTAGTTCTTCAGCCACCTATGTAAGAAGGGGCCGGCACACTCCCTCCATCATTTTCAGAAGACCTGAGGAGGCTGCCTTGACTCCATCACCACCTTCCGTAGAGGACACAGGATTACCTTCTTATGAACAGGCAGTGGCACTGACCAGAAAACACAATGTTTCCCCACCGCCACCATATCCCGGGCCAACAAAAGGGTTTCGAGTATTTAAAAAGTCTATGTCGCTCCCATCTCACTAAGCCCATCATGGTGAAAAAGGAGATTCATGTTATTTGAATGGTTTGTTTTCCCTGAACCAAAGAGACATGTCATATCAGCCTTTATGACAAACTCTAAGGACAAAGAAAGAATAAGCATGTGTACCACACCACAGAAGTTCTGTTGGCATCTTGGACCTGAACTTGATCATTATCAGCTTGATAAGAAACTTTGATTCCATGTCCTTGCAGTAAAGAAGAGAGCACTTTTTTGTTTATTTTAATGGTTCAAAAACTCTGTTATGGATGCCATAGCTAGAAGTAGTAAATATCCTTTGTACAGATAAAGGTTATAGATTTCTTGCATTGAATATAAAAAAAAATGATTTCTGATCAGTAGATTATCCAAAGTCAGCATATTGGACTCACCCTTTATTAGGATTTCTTTTTGGTTGGAAATACTTTACAAAACTTGATACTTCAGTATAAATTGGTGGCCTTAATCACTGGGTTTTACATTTTAAATAATTGCATAGTATTGAACCATAATTTGTAGGTTTTAGTTGTTAACAATTGCTGTCAGTCATGTTTTGCTATGGGGAGTAGGGAGTAATTTAAAGAAAAATCACTTGCTAGAGAGTTAGTTCTTCAGATAGTATAGGGTTGCAATGGCAAGGATTTGCAAGGACTGTAATACTGTCAAATAAATACATAGGCTTCAAATCTAGGAGTGACTAGAACTTGATAAAGTTGCCCATTCTACTGACATATCCATTTTCATTGCTAAATTATCTATGTATCACTATATATAATTATTTATCTTGAAAATGTGTTGAAGTTTATAAATAATAGTTTGAGAACCTAGAAAAATTAATTTACTTTTCTGCTATTAAAATAATGCTGACTAGGGGCGCCTGGGTGGCTCAGTCGGTTGGGCGGCCGACTTCGGCTCAGGTCATGATCTTGCGGTCCGTGGGTTCGAGCCCCGCGTCGGGCTCTGTGCTGACAGCTCAGAGCCTGGAGCCTGTTTCGGATTCTGTGTCTCTCTCTCTCTGACCCTCCCCCGTTCATGCTCTGTCTCTCTCTGTCTCAAAAATAAATAAACGTTAAAAAAAAATTAAAAAAAAAATAATGCTGACTAGGGGCGCCTGGGTGGCTCAGTTGTTTGAGTGTCTGACTTCGGCTCAGGTCGTGATCTCACAGTTCGTGGGTTTGAGATCCACATCGAGCTCACTGCTATCAGCATGGAGCCTGCTTGGGATCCTCTGTCTCCCTCTCTCTCTGCCCCTCCCCTGCTTTGCTCTCTCTCAAAAATAAACATTTAAAAAAATAAAATAACCTTTTAAAAAATAATAATACCAACTAAAGTTATCAACAACCCCTTGTACCTCTTAATGTCTAGACCCAAAACACCATAAGTAATCGTTTTAACCTATACTTTTTGTCTCTTCTTCTAATTGTAGATATGACTAGTCTTCCTTAAGAATGTAGTAGAATATAAGCTATAAACCTCTGGAGTGAGTGTGTTTGCACACATTTATGTTAGTGGGTGTGGATGTAAATGTGAATTTGTTTTCTCTTTGCAGGAACTTAAGAAATAACATACTCCTGACAAATAAAATAGAAAATTCTGTTCTTTTTGTTTTGCTAGGCATTGCATTTTCCAATTATTTAAGACAATGTGTAAATTGTATTTTGTTTTATAATTTTTACAGAAGTGAAACTAAAACCCACATGTATTTGGTAATTCCTTCCAATTAAATGTTTACAAAGTATAAATTATCATTACAATATGTGTGTGTGAGTGTATATGCCTCTTTTAAGACAACATGATCTTAAGGCAGATACAAGCAAGACCTTAATCATTTCAGACAGCAACCACTTTATCCTTCTAGATTATGGGGTCTCTTCAGTTGCTTGGCACAAAGAAACCATCTAGCAAAATTTAGGTATAATTTTAAAAAGTAGTCTTTTTACTTTTTTATTTTTATTTTTTTAATATGAAATTTATTGTCAATTGGTTTCCATACAACACCCAGTGTTCATCCCAACAGGTGCCCTTCTCAATGCCCATCACCCACCCTCCCTCCCTCCCACTCCCCATCAGCCCTCAGTTTATTCTCAATTTTTAAGAGTATTTTTATTTTTTTAAAGATTTTATTTTTAAGTAATCTCTATACCCACTGTGGGGTTCAAACTCACAGCCCCAAGGTCAAGAGTTGTATGCTCCACAAACTGAGCCAGCCAGGCACCCCAGGAAAAGAAGTCTTAAAAAATTTTTTTTAATCTTTATTTTATGTAGGTTCCATGCCCAATGTGAGGCTTGAACTCACAACCTTGAGATCAAGAGTCACGTTCTCCACTGACTGAGCCAGCCAGGTACCCCAAAAGTAGTCTCTTTAAAGCGTCCTACATTACCTATAAAAATTTTACCATTATGGGGCAGCTGGCTGGCTTAGTAGAACATGCAAGTCTTGATCTGGAGGTCATGAGTTTGAGCCCCACATTTGGTGTAGAGATTATTTAAAAAAAAAAAGAAAATTACTATTAATCATACCTTGACTTTCCATAGGTACTTTTCTGATGTAACTTTGCACTTTGCCCTTATTTTAATTTTCTTTAAAATGTAAGAGGCAGGGGCACCTGGGGGCTCAGTCAGTTAAGTATCCAAATTCAGCTCAGGTCATGATCTCATGGTTTGTGAGTTCGAGCCCCACATCGGGCTCTGTGCTGACAGCTTAGAGCCTGGAGCCTGTTTAGGATTTTGTGTCTCCCTCTCTCTCTCTGCCCCTCCTCCACTCACACTCTGTCTCTGTCTCAAAAATAAACATAAATAAATAAATAAATAAATAAATAAATAAATAAGAACTTTAAAAAAATAAAAAATAAAATGTCAGAGGCAAATTCTACTTTGCTCATTTTGTAGCAGTCAGACTGAGGTGTAGAAGGATAACTTGCCCTAAATCTAACATGTTGGTGAGAGCTAGGTTTAGAAAGGGCAAGCACACTTTTCCAGGCCCATCTCATACCTATAGAATTATGCTGTCTCAAATTACAAAGAACAGGGACCTTATTAATTCTAGTTCTGTATGAAAAATTGATGACCATTTGTCATATATACATAAGTGCATATAGGTATATATATATATGTATGTGTCTAGAATTGCATTGTCTCAAATTATTAAAAACAAGGATCTTATTAATACTAAGTCTGTATGAGAAATTTATGAGCACTTGTCATATATGTCATACATATGTCATACATAAACATATATAAGTACATATATGACACATAGGTGTACATATTCTCACACACATGTATTTCTTAGGATGAATAGAAATATAAGACAGGCACCTGGCTGGCTCAGTCAGAGGAGCATGCCTTTCTTAATCTCAGGGTCATAAATTCAAGCCCCACATTGGGTATACAGATTATTTAAATAAATAAACTTTTAAAAGAAAAGAAAAATATAAGATAAGATGTTTCTCTTATTGAATCATAATTTGAAATATTCCTTGAACTTGTTTACTACCACTGACACACGAGAGTCTAATTGCAAAGCTAACTTCAGAAACTATGACAACCCCTCTCTCCCAGCAGTAGCCTAGATTTGTTATATGCCATCATTTAGGGTAAAACTGTTGCTCTAACTTGAATTAATCTAGAATTTATCACTAAGGTTGTGAAATCCCTGGTATTTGTAAAACATCCAATGTTGAGCTCATAATGCTTTATACAAAGGAAAATGTGGTATGAGACTACACCAAAATAAAATGCTTCTGCACAGCAAAGGAAACCATCAACGAAACAAAAAGACAACCCACTGAATGGGAGATATTTGCAAATGATACATCCAACAAGGAATTAATATCCAAAATATATAAAGAGCTTATACAACTCAACACTGAACAAACAATCCAATTTAAAAGTGGGAAGAAGCGGGGCACCTGGGTGGTGCAGTCGGTTAAGCGTCCAACTTCAGCCAGGTCACGATCTCGTGGTCCGTGAGTTCGAGCCCCGCGTCAGGCTCTGGGCTGATGGCTCAGAGCCTGGAGCCTGTTTCCAATTCTGTGTCTCCCTCTCTCTCTGCCCCTCCCCCGTTCATGCTCTGTCCCTCTCTGTCCCAAAAATAAATAAGCGTTGAAAAAAAATTTTTTTTTAATAAAAGTGGGAAGAAGAACTGAACAGACATTTTTCCAAAGAAGACATACAGATGGAAAACAGACACATGAATAGATGCTGAAAATGTCTAGCCATCAGGGAAATGCAAATCAAAACCACAATGAGATACCACCTTATACTTGTCAGAATGGCTAGTATCAAAAAAGACAAGAAATAAGTGTTGGCAAGGATGTGGAAAAAAAGGAATCTCATGGACTTTTCGTGGGGAATTTAAATTAGTACAGACACTGTAGAAAAGAGTACAGAGGTTCCTCGAAAAAGTAAAGATAAAAAACTTATGATCCAGTAATTCTACTACTGTGTATTTACCCAAAGGAAATGAAAAATGAAAACACTAATTCAGAAAGATAACCCTATGTTTTATTGCAGAATTGTTTACAATCGCCAAGACATGGAAGCAACACAAGTGTCCATCAACAGATGGATAAAGAAGATGTGGCATACATATAATGGAGTATCACTCACCCATAAAAAAAAGAATGAGATCTTGCTACTTAAGACAACATGGATGGACCTAGAGGGTATTATGCTAAATAAGTCACACAGAGAAAGACAAATACCAGATGATTTCACATATAGGTAGAATCTAAGAAACAAACAAACAAAATGAACAAACAGACCCTTAAATGCAGAGAACAGATTGATGGTTGTCAGAGGGAAGGTGGGTGGGGAGATGGGATGAAATAGATAAAAGGGATTAAAAGGTATAAACTTCTGGTTATAAAATAAATAAGTCACAGGGATGAAAAGTACAGCACAGGAAATATAGTCAATAATATTTTAAACATTGGTGACAGATGGGGACTACCTTTATCATGGTTAGCACTGAATAACGTATAGAATTGTTGAACATATGTTG